TTTGCTGAAAAAAAAAAAGGACTTTCCTGTTGAGCTTCCATTAGACCAACAGATTTGAAGTTGAGAAAATGACACCATTGCGACACACACTGAGGACACACTCCACGTTTGATGTCACTTTCAAGAGCCTTCATGCAAAGGTGCCGGAGTGCTTCATAAATTTGTTTCTGGCTTCCTGATGCCTGCTCTCTTGTAGTGACACCGTGCTCAACATGAGCTCCCAAAGAGCATCCAGTCACACCAGAGAACCAAGATCATTGTAAGCAGCGAAATGTGCGATCTGTCGAATGTGTTTTTGAAAAAAATGTTCGCTCTACAAGCAGCCTGTCAATCCCAATCACTGCACATCATTGTTTTTTTTTTGTGTCCCAAATGCCTGTGTGAATGTGAGCCAGACCAAAAGTAACAGACAAACAAACACCTTTTGTCGATGAAAATGACCTCAGAATTTGAACTCAAAACATTCTTTATTGAAGAGGGAGAGAATCATTACCAAGTAGCCTGTGGTGATTTTTTTTCGATGCCACTTTTAAAGAAGAAAATGTATTCAAGTGCAATGATGCTCAAGTTGGACCTAGATCGCAATCATAAGATGCACCTCATTGTACTCAATATTTTCTTAGGGGACCACAATTTTCGATAGATCTATTATTCAATATTATATATTTCCAATGGAAAGCAGTGATAACATTGGCACGTATCAGTCAACATTGCGTCCAAGTGAATTTACATCTCACTTTGACTAAAATGACATAAAGAGATCCATGTGCAAGTTGGACTGGTTGGATATTTTAGCTCCCTTTTAAGTGCTTGGAGTGATTTTTACAAATATTACGATGACAGATGAGAACTGCACTGGTGAGTCCTTGCAATCACTCGCTCTGAGTGGGCACATCAGATGGGGAAGCAGACAGCGCTGGCACGCTCACTCACAGCCTCCCTGGCGCTGGAGAGCGACCCTCGGGCCGGAGGAGCCCAACGCCTGTGCTACAACTTGGTTGTTTGTTTGGTAACCTGCAGAATGCTCACCCCTTCTTTAGTGTCCTCTCTTGTTGTGACAATGTGGTGCACAACAGCTGTGGTGTTTCCTCAAATTAGCAACAAGTTTTATACCCTTCCAAAATGGCATTGTTTATATTTTACACAGTGCATTGTGGGATGCATGTCATCCATGTCCGGAGCGCTGTCGCGTTTTGTATATTTTTGTACTTTATATGTTCATTTATAAATACTATTTTGACCTGCGCAAGTAATGTAGGCACAAGAGTGCACTTTGTTTGCTAATTTGGTTTAGTGTAGTTGTTTGTTATACTAATTCATTATTATTCAAATATATTGCCTTTTCAGAGAAGTGATTGAAAACAATGCACTCTTGGTTTACAAATGGTATTATGTGTGAACATGTTGATTCAATTTTTTACACTTGATGAATAGCATAAATGCGTGTGCTGATCTGTTTGTCAGTGTTGAAAAATGCGAAGAGCATCTCGGTTAGTGTTGGAGCCTTTCATGCTTTGCTCCGGGGCCGATGAGTAGCTAAAGACAGCCTTGTTTATAGGGCAAGGAAAAATATCATGACTAAAATCTTGACTTTGATGTGACTTTTAAGAGTACGAGAACTTAATATTCTCCTCCATGTACTCTCAAGTTGTCCAAACATCTAACAAAACAAGTTTTATTGACCTGTTGTTGTTGCTGTTCACACACACACACAGACACACACACTCTCACACGCACACACACATGCACACGCGCACACACACACACACACACACACACACACACACACACACACACACTCATACACACTCGCACACATTTGCATGTTCTGTTCTATTCATTTTGTTTTGATGGAGCACAAAGACAAACCGCGCTCCATCACGGTGGTCATTTTCCTTTTGTTCAGTAGTTTGGGCAACCTTTCATCTGTTTACCTGTTGTCATGTAGAGTAAATATGCAAGAACACTGTTTCCAAGTTTTCTATTCTTCATAGGTATCTTGACACAATGAAGATATTTATCATTGGAAAACCACATGTCTATATATGTTTATATCAGTGTATTGTATTGCAAGATTCCCTCCCCCTACCATAACTCTATCTACAATCATGTTGAATCAGTTGCTGATCTAAATCAGTATTGTTCAGCCTTGAAATTTGGTCGGTATTGTATTCAGTTTAAGTTGCCATGAGTCGTGAGAATTAAGTCAGCCGAACCCTTACTTTTAAACGTCTTCAAGCCCAATCCCTTAGCATCACACACAGGCACGGATAAATGTCCAGTCATATTGACGACAAGTCTTTCACATGAGAAAGAATGAAAAGCAAGGATGGACAGAGCAGAGCTTGACAGCAAAATTATCATCCGTCGCAGGATAGCAGTTTGCAGTTGCCTGGTAGTAGCGATAAATTATATGATTGTGAGGATGGGTGAAAAGAATCCCTCACTTACATTATCACAAGACGAGAGCCGTCATCACCATGGAGACCTGGAACAAGGGCAGGAGGTGAGGGGTGCAGATTGTGAGGGGACAGCAACAATAATTAAGTGCGCGCAAAACATGCACAGGCATGGACTAGTCCTTCGTCCTATCTACAGTACATGATAGTGTGAGACTCATGAGTGACATGTTGTGTGGCTCGATATGCTGTGATTGAACTTTGGGATGAGGCCTCACAGACAGATGGATGGATACGCACGGATACATTTTGCATTCAAGACGGATCAGTTTGACGGGCAGTTGAGTAAAAGGCAACTGTATTGAAGCAACGACAGAATGACTGTGCTGTCTCACAGTGGGATGAGGTGAGGGGAAGGAGGGCTTTGAACAGCCGCATTTTCAGTTTCAATCAAACACCAACTAAATCCTCATTTAGGGTGAAATGTAGAAATTGGTTCGCTGCTCACTTGTTCATATAAATCTCAAGACCAATGCACATCCTCTCGTGTGGTTGGGGGGTTGCAAGGGGTTAATCAGGAAATTATATGGATTTGAGTCAACTGCAGGTTTTGTTGTTACCATTTTTTTTTTACATATGTTTATTTTTTATTATTTTAAATAAAAGTCTGCAAGCTCAAACCCTCAAACCTAATGTTTCCACCACAGTTTAACATAGACTACCAGTCAAGCTGCTCTGAAAAATGGTAGAATAGTCAAAATGGTTTGGTTCAGCGAGGTGGAAAACGGCGACTGAGCAAAAATTCAAAATTGGAGGATTTTGAGCTATCTCCTTTGATGATGATGATGATGATGATGGATAAAGAGCATCTGTCAAATCCTCCCCGGTGGTTATGGGTGGGACCGTAAACCTACAGGGGTGGGGCGGGGCTGGAGGCTGTAAAAATAATGAGAAAGCCCACGAAAAAGGGGATTTAGTTGTTGAATAATATGCATGC